ACTATGTAAATAGAGAGTTATTGCAAGTTTACTTAATGTCAGTCACTATTAGTGCCGCTATTATTTTGACATCTGAGCATGCGCAGATCACTAACTTTTATAAAGATTGTACCTGTCCTTAATAAAAAAGTTATTGCAAGTTCACTTAAGGTCAGTCACTATTAGTGCCGCTCTTATTTTGACATCTAAGCATGCGTAGATGTTTATGTTCTAAAACTGACTTTATTAAGGATTGTGCCTGTCCTTAATTGTGGATGTTTAAGGGCAGCAGGTAGTGGCGACTTTATAGTTTTCGGATGCGCTCGCCGACATTCGTATCCGTTAGAAGTTTTTTAATATTAATTATTTAATATAATCGTCATTTAAACCTTCCAAAATTATAATTTCTAATGCCTCTTTAATATTATAGACAACAAAAAAGATGAACTATAATTTAAAGTTTAGTAGCTGGCTTTATAGAAATTTGCAATATCTCTCTATTAAGGACAGGCACAATCTTTATTAAAGTTAGCGATCTGCGCATGCTCAGATGTCAAAATAAGAGCGGCACTAATAGTGACTGACCTTAAGTGAACTTGCAATAACTCTCTATTAACGCCGTCCATATACTTTGATTTTCTTTTACTATACGGAGAATGGTCGCACTGCGCAGCTTTCTGAGTGCCTTTTAAAAGGAGATAGAAAACTACGCCAGTTTGAACCCTTATTACGTGTTGCCTACATCTTGGCGCAATATTTTTAATAGGTGCGTTTTAATCATCCACTTCTGCTTCGGAATTGTCGATTTTCTTGGTTTAATCTGACAGGTTAAAACGACTAAACCGACAATTCCGGAAGCAGAAGCGGATGATTAAAACGCACCTGATATTTTGCTTGCTGCTGTCAGTGTCAGTGAATATTATTTTTGAAGTCACAGTTTATTGCTAAAGAATCAGTTAGCTCACTCGGACCAGTTGAAAGTTCCAAAATAACATCCACTCCAGGGATACAAATTCAGGATACGCAGAAGACTGCTGTTTTATTATAGGCAGATGTCATATATTGTATTATCCGAGTTGCACAGTGTATAAACTGAAACATTGAGATCAAAAGTGCCGACGCAGCTTGAGCGATCTGATTCTTTAGCTGTAAACTGTGTCACAGGGTTCAAAATGGCCGCGCCCTATGTTGGGCGTGTCGGACCTCTCTCTTTCCTCGTATAGTAATCAAAGTATGTGACGCCGTCGCCAGGTCACTATATCTAACCTCTCAATTAAAATTGATTTCCTACACCGTGTGACCAAACAAAACCTCAGGCCTCATAAAATATTTCGTAAAGATTTACGGCTGGTTCTTTCCCCAGCCATAAAACTTTCCTTGTCTTCTCTTAGTTTTGATAAAATAGCTTTAAGGGTTTGCGCTTTAATAAAAAAATGTACCTTTCATTGTATTATTTGTTTTTTGTTACCGTTCAATTTCAGCTGTTTTTGACGACAGATATGCGTTTTAAGAGCTTGTAAGGAGCCTTTATTTGCAATTTCGCGTAAAATAGGTTCAAATGTTAAAACACATACTTCAGTTAAAAAAACGGCTTCATTTATAGAAAATGTGTTTCAGTCCAGCATATTTTGCATATAATGTTCTTTTCGTCATCACCTTCTTCTGGTGTTAGAGTTTTTATAATATCGACAGTATGATTTTTTCAAAGACGAGCTACAAAATAGCAAGGAAAAATCATGTAATGATTTCCATCAAATTTCAAATGAATGACTTTTTATTTGAGAGAGAAATATTATTGTGTGAATGGTTTATTTTTAAATATTTTGAGTTGGGGTATGACCTCCGAGCTAAATTCGGATCACACCTTGTTTGTATCCGGAAATATTTTGAAATTTTGGCAAGCCTGGAGCGAGCCGTAGTGTTGCTGTTGGCATACAATTTTTAATTTTTACACAAAAATCGTTAGAATAGATAAATGGACCGAAACTAAACTGAAATTAAAGGCTAATGGTAATATTTTAGAGTAATTATTCTGAAAATATAATTTACTATTATTTAATTAATTGCAGCTTTGTCTGTTTCTTAGAAACATTAAAAATAACCGAGAGCAAAAAAGCCAAAGGGCTAAATATTAATAAAATATTAGATTTCTTAAAAAAAGTAATGTATGAACAGCAGAATATTTTCTGTCAGTTCGATTTTTCATTCCGTGACGTCACACCCTTCCTTAGAAACAGACGGAAGAGGCCATCGTGTTGTCTATGAACCGTATGGCTAGCCCGGTAAAAATTTTAATAACAGTTATGACTATGAAGACTAGAGATAAGGAGGCGAATCGATAATGATAACATTTCAAATTCCTGTCCTTCTTTTTATAAAGCTTGCTAAATTCACTGTGGTTGGCAGGTCGAACGTCACTGCCGTTCATTTTCTATAAAAGTCAATGTAAAATGAAGTGATGTCTTAAAATGTTTGTGAAAAGAATCAAAATAATGTGAAAAAAAGTACCCGAGTATAAATACCATGAGTGACCAAAAACAGTAAAGCAAGATTCACTTCATTCCAGATTGTAAAACAGGATACAAATCAGATGTTAATCCAAAGAAAACGCAAGGAGAAATCAATTCAATGTCTTTTTAAAGCTTCTAATGTAAATAAAATAATGTATTTATGTCTAAATATAATATTTATTGTAAACTAGTCACAACACGTATCACGGACTGTAGTTTATTTTAATAAAAGTTTCTATAAAATAAAATTTTACAGACATAGATCTTGACTTACAAACGACAATAATTTTATATTAAATTTAACTTACTAGAAAAAAAAATTTTTATAGTTTTAATGTTAGATAAAGAGTATTTTTTCTTGAACCCCAATTTTGTCATTGAAAATGTTTTTATAGGATCCTAAACGCTTAGAATAGTGACAGAATATCTATCGTATCTAGGGCCGATAAAACACTTTCTAGAGATGATGCTGTTCTACACTTTTTAGGAGATATTTCTAAATATTATTAGATTCTTTTTACTGATGGTACTGTTAGCAAAATAAAAAGTGGAAAGCCGAAATTAAAGGATGAGGCAATATTATGTACATTTTCAAATCTCCCTTTATGCTTGTATTATAACAATAAAAAAATCTATTGACTGTGTTTTATTTTGTTCTTAAAACTTTATTTATGTATAATTGAAAAAAATTTAGACACAAAATTGTACTTACCAAATTTCACCATTTAACAAATCTTTTCGAATTTGGTCATACCTACCTAATTTACATTTTATATAGATAAAATTAAATAATTTATCAGTTAAAACATGCGAGACTTATTTATATTAGAAATAAGTACAGCAGTATATTCTGTGCTTTATTTTGCAATAAATAAGTTAATTTTTATTATTTTGACAAAATTCTGTAAAATTTCCATAAGAAGCCATGTATTTTGAACAGCGCTACTAGCACCAGCGCCCTTGCGGTGAATTAAAAAAACTCAATTAGCGTTCGTTTTTTGGGACCGTATTTAGAATATGCCGATTCCTCTCCTTATCTCTAGTCTTCATAATGGTATCAAATGATAAAATTTTATTTGATTTTTGTTTCTTAAACGTAGTAAATTGCAGTATATCATAAAACGTTGTACGATACACGCCGCTCGTTACCTGATCTCTACGTGCTCTACGTGCTCGCATGTAAAGATTTAGATAACGGGCTTATAACGTAAACTAGTATGATAGATTACTAAACGAACGTTTATGTGAAAAGCACTATTCTCTAAAATTCCTAAGTTAACCATTTAAATAGGAGAGGACGATGTGATGCGTACTTATTTTTGATGTAGGGGCGTTTTTGATTTTTAAGCACATATTAAGATTTTTTAAAAAATGAATTTGAATAATAAAACTAATTTGAAATGTATAATATAGGAAAATAATTTAATACTGTTGAGAGAAGTGTTGGCTCAAAATCATATACAATGGAAAATAATAAAAAATAATCTTAACAAGAAAAAGAAAGCATTTTTTCTTTTGAGAAACCTTTTTAATATTCTATTATTGCAATGTTTTAGAATATATAGTAGTAACTTATCTAACAACAATAATTTTTATAAGATATCTAATTATTTATACTTGAGATTTCAACTTATTCTACGTTCACAAACTACTGTTAAATTCAGTTGTACTTTAAACTGATTAGACTAATGGTTCTATGTATGTCATTCACATCAAAACATCAAGAAGATTTTTACAGAAAATGCAAACTGTTTGATAATATAATTTATTTTCTAAGTACTAACTGTTTTTCGTACAATATTTTTTCAAACATTATTAACGCGTCCAGTGAAAATAATAACATCGTCCTTTTTGATAAGATACGAGAAAGGATGGTCGGCATAAAAAATTTTTGGTTGTGGAGGTTGCTCTTCAACAAATACAGCTGATGGGGGCATAATATTCACTATAAAACAAAAAATATTTCTTTATATAGGTATATGGGGATAATTTTATTTAGCTATGTAACAGTTTTTTTAATTATTGACCATTTAGATATAAGTGTTTATTGTTTGTGCTATTGGGATTACTGTGAGCATTAAGTATATAGAACTAGCTTATTTTCCCGGAAGAAAAGGGCAGCAATCCTTATCTCTTATCTATTACGATAAAATTAAATATAAATATAATTTTTTAAAATTTAATCTGGGTTAAGAAATTTATAGGATTCGTTTTAGAAGTTTAGGTCTCTAATGAGACCATTCAGGTTTTGTTGATCTTAAAAACTAGAGCTGCTACAAAAAAGGGCAGGTACTTTTGTAATTGGCATATCAAAAATATCCTAAATCAGTTCTTATTTTTCAAGATAGTGATTGTTATATAATTAAATAAGTAGGGTTTTAATAGCTATTTATGTAAAACTTATCAGTAAAACAATTCTTACCCTACTTTAAACATTGGAATACCATAATTTACAGAAAAATGAAATGGATGATATTTAAAGGGGACTATATTAATATTGAAACATATTGATTCGAAAAATACATATATTATTCAAACAATATACATTTATGTACAACTTTTTAAATTTTATTAACAAATTATCAAACTAGTTGAATGCGACACGTCCGGCAAAAAGAATGACATCGTCTTTTTTGATTAAATATGTGAAGGGATGCTCAGCATGGAAAAGTTTTGGTGGTTGGGTTTCACGAAAAGCTGAATAGCCGACCATCACAACTAGAAAGAAAAATAAACCATAATTGATATCAAGTTGCCATTTTTCCTTTTTTTTTTTATAATTATAATACCTAATTTATTTTATTATATAAATGAAAACGATCACATAAATGCGAGGTGTGTTCTATATTTTGTGATTTACTTCGTATGTAATAAATTTTGATGTAACTATAGGAACTTTTGATAGATATATTATGGAAAAATTCAGTGGCGTACAAAGATATTTTTTAGGGGTCTCTCACTAAGAAAATATAATACAAACTTATAACTTGAAAACAAAGTAAAAAAAATTGCTTATTGTTTGTTCTAAATGTATTATTATACTCTTCACATAGTAGTCTGTGAAGAGTATTATAGATTTACTTTCAAAGCATCAACATTTTTAATATACTCGTATATCCAAAATAAAGAGAAAATTATACTAAAATCCTTTTCATCAAATTTTAAACAACTTTTAAAACCGTCCGTCTGATGTCACGTTTTTTGTCCGCACGATAAGTCAAAAATCAAAAACGATATCAACTTCAATTTAAAAAAAAATCAAGTTCTATAAGGAGACGAAACCTATTGATTTTGAACAAAAAATTATAGTTTATTTGAAAATAAATAATAAAATTTTTATGACTTAGAAGATAAACCCCAATATAAAATCATAAATCAGTGACGGAGAGTTTCTAAAATAAAATTTTTACCATTATTTGTTCCAAAATAAAATCTTTGGTATTCTTTCTAAAAATGTTTAAAACTACTAATTTATTTAATTTATTTTAATTCTTGTCTTAAATTCTCTAATCATTTTAATCAACAAAAATAAGGTAATTATGTAATCTCTACAGGTCGAATATATTTACAATTTAAAATTGTCATGTACTAACCGCCACGGTAACGGAGACAGAAGCTGTCAGACTGACGCGACGTTAGAATTAATGTTATGTCACTGTTAAAATAATTTTACAATAAATATTTCATGTTTAATGTATATGTGTGTATGTAATAAATTGGCGACGAGATGCCCACTATTGATATTAAATACTAAGAAAAATCCGCACCTTATTACAAGGCTTAGTTGCAAAAATAGAAAACTACGTGAACACTCAAGAACTAATATCATATGAAAAAACCCAAACAAGACTTCAATTACTACAAGAAACATTGCAGAAATTACAAGATACAACATAGAATTAGAAACATCGGAAGAACATCTTAACCAAGAAATCGAAATCAGGGTCGATTTTCAAGAACGATTTACAATCATAAAAACGAAACTTCTTATATTACAGAATAGAAATAGTCCACCTATACAACCATCCACATCACAGTCACAGACTAATATACCTATACAGCAAGAAGAGTCCCAAAAATGAAAACTTTCAGTCTTTTCAAGAAACAGAAACATTCAGAAATTTTACGAAAATACTTAGTGTATTTTTCCTTCTCAACAATATCGAAGACGCTAAAATAAACGTGTATATTTTACTTGCTGCTCTACCATCAGATTTGCATGAGATATTACATGATTATTGCTTTCCAGAAGATCTGCTTAACATGAATTTTGAAAAACTATCGAAAGTACTAAACGACTACGTAGATCCAAAACCTAGCATATGGGCGCTACAACACAAATTTATCACACGTTTTCAACACGAAGATAAAACAGTAGCAACATACGCCTCAGAGCTGAAGAACCTTTCATCCAACTGCGAATTCAAGTGCCAAAATTGTCAAAAATCTACCTTAGAAAGTTTCCTATCTCTACAATTTATTTGAGGATTAAAGGCAGCGATATACGAACAAAAATGATTCAAGAACGAGACATCACAATTTACAAAACTGCTATATATAGCTACGTCGATAGAAATGGGAAAATCAGAAAATATTAAAATATCCAAAGACTTATATAAACATTCTGACACAGTAAACAAAATTTTAAGCTCAGCACAAAAATTCAATTATCCACGTCCCGCATCCTCACGACCAAGTATACAGCCATTCGCTTCATTATTGCCTCCTATAACAATAAGATACTTGAAAGGGAAATGTCTCCGATGCGGAAAAGTCGACCATAGGTCCAATGCATGTGGTGCCATCAAATCCACCTGCTTAAAATGCAAGAAAACTGGACATCTAGCGCTAGTATGCTTACAACGAAACATAAACACCAATCAATTAGATGACAATAGCAGTAACATGAGTATCGAAAGCACGGGAGATAAAAAACCTCATTTAAAGCGAGTTACCTGAAAAATATAGGATAATAGTTAAAATAAAAAATGTTTGCATGGAATTCGACATAGAAGCGACCTTATCGACAATGTCACTGAAACAATATAAAAGGCTAAACATAGCAAACAACATATTCAAAACTGAAATGACATTAAGAATCTTCACTGGTGAAATTATCAAGCCTACAGGAGTAACGTACGTTCAATGCGCTTATAAAAATCAAATTTTCAACGGTAAATTATGCATTATAAATCAAAACGTCGACCCAATACTCGGCAGGAGCTGGATGAAAGAAGTAAAGGTGGAACTTGCAGACATGAAAGTAATACAGTCTTTAGAATACTCCACACAACTTTACAAACTATTAGAAGAATATGCAACAACTGTCTTTAGATCTGACATAGGAAAAATACCAAACTACCAAGCTCTCTTAGTTCTGAAGAAAAACACACAACCTATAAGGCTCAACGTATACCGTATGCTTTAAGAAAGAAAGTTGACCAAGAAATCGACCGATTATGTAAGGAAGGGGTGATCACTAAAGTAGACCAGTCGGATTGGGGTACTCCAATTATACCTATTGTAACTACAAAGTCGCTCTTAACAAAGTCATCAGGAAAGAAAACTAGCCAATCCCCATAATTAAGGATATATTTGCAGAAATGAATGGAGGAAAATACTTCTGTACTCTAGATATTTGCCAAGCTACCTTAACACGGTCATATATGAAGAAAGTGCCTAATTACAAATATTAAGAACGCACAAGAGCACATACAAAGTCGCTTAATGTTTGGAGTCAAAGTTGCACCGAACCTTTGGCAAACATTCATGGATTAGACGGAGTCAAATGTTTTTTTGATGATATCATAATTTAAAGTGCGTCAGAAGAACAACTCTTAGCACGATTTAAACAAGTATTGCAGAAACTAAAAAACAATAATCTTCGCGTTAACAAGAAAAATGTCAATTTTACAAACGGAACATTAATTACCTGGGCCATACAATTGATAAAGATGGGATACATAAAAATAAAGACAAAATCAAAGCAATAACCGATACATGTAGACCAACAAACATTAACGAACTACGATCCTTCCTCGGCATGGAAAACTACTACAACAAATGTATACCGAATCTAGCCTCCATTACTAGTGCTCTAAATAAATTACTTGGACATCGAAATGCGAAGACAGTTTCAATAACATTAAAAAGGAAATTTTCAGTGAAAGAGTTCTCATCCATTTTGACCCTAAGAAACCATTGATACTTGCCACGGACGCGTCACCAACTGGATTGGGAGCTGTTCTTGCTCACAAATTACAAGATGGATCAGAAAGGCCAATTACATTCGCCTCCAGAACACTTTCATCGAGCGAAATAAAATACAGTCAAATTGACAAAGAACTACGGCCATCTATTGGGGTATTAAAAAATCCTTTCACTATTGTTACGGCCGAAAGTTCACATTAATTATGGATCATACGCCCCTTACCTCAATATTTCATCTTCACCAAACCTTACCAGCACTAAATACAATGAGATTGTTCCATTACGCACATTTTCTATCAGGATTTGACTATGAAGTACAATACACCTCCGCAAAACATTCAAACGCCGATTATTTATCAAGATTTCCAGTAGAAATAGTAAAAGAAACCTCAAAAGACCAACATTGCAGTTTTCAATTACAACAGATTAATATCCTGGAAGTTCGACCAGAAATCATAGCTGGCGAAACAAGGAATGATGATGAAGAACTAAAGATTTTACTAAAAACATTGAAAAATAGACACTCATTACATCAGTATGGTTACAATGACAATGAACTAACACTACAAGATAACTGCATACTTAAGGGGACCCGAATAGTAATACCGCAGTGTTTACGCGCACGTGTACTTGATGAACTACAAGCCGGATACATTGGTATTTTAAAAATGAAATTAATAGCACGCAGCTATGTAGGTATATTGGAAAAACAAAGATAGAGACATCGAAAACAAAATCAAATCCTACAGACCGAGCAGATTAGAACAGAATGAGCCATCAATAGCAACTCTGCACCACTGAGAACTACCTAGTGGACCATGGCAAAGATTAGGGTGGTACAAAATTGATCGAAAACATTTGATCCTATACATTTGATCGAATGCATTTGATCTAAAAAACATTTTATCGAATAATAATTGATCGAAAAGAAAAATGATCGAACAGAAAAATGATCGAAAAGAATAATGATTGAAAAGAAAATTGATCGAAAATAAATTTGATAGAAAAATCAATTAATCGAAAAACCATCGCTGGTGCTTCGCAAAAACAAAAAATAAAAAAATAAAATAAAATTAGGTAACGTACCTAACTTACCTAACTTGTGCGAGAGAAATCTGTTAAATTTGAATAGCACAGGTTAGATAAATTAGTTTTTTATTTTTATGACGTTTCCAGACTGGAGCAATTTAACTGATTGCTCTGATACAGGTTAGGTAAGTTTTTAAAAAATAAATAAAAATAAAGAAAACTTAACTAATTTACCTAACCTATGTGGCCTGGAGCAATTTAACTGATTGCTCTGACATAGTTTTTTAAAAAACCTAACTAATTTACCTAACCTCTGTCAAAGCAAACAGTTAAATTGCTCCAGGCCGTACAGGTTAGGTAAATAAGTTAGGTTTTCTTTATTTTTTCTTTTTTGTATATTTTTTTTTGCGGAGCCACCCTTGAGGGCTCCGCCCACAGGTTAGCTAAATTAGTTAAAGTTTTCTTATTTTTTTTATAAT